GATAGATAGATAGATAGATAGATAGATGGATGGATAGATAGCTTGTCCAGATTTTTTATGAATAAGTGAGGTTGGTTTTAGGGTTGCTTTTGAGATTTTGTCATGCCTTTTTATGTTACATTCCATATTCTACTAATCTTGTTGAGTTTATGTTTTTCCCATTTCCTTGTGTTTTAATGATGTTTTCAAGTTTCTCCTTGGTAGCCATCCTGAAAATTTCTTAGAAGTTAAAAAGGCAGAATGCAAAGGCTTTAAACAAAAGAAAAATAGCATATCAAATATGCTTGAATTTAGCGAGCTTACTTTAAATATTGTTACACTGCCTTTCTTCGCTTTAAAGTGGTTTCATACATATGCAGTGAAACTGTGTGCCTGCATTCCTATACCTGCTTCCCTGGGAGAAAACTCCATTGAGCTCAGTGGGCCTTTAATAGGATTGTGTTATATAAGACAAGATTTGCTTTATTTTTTAATTTTTGCATAACTTTTATATTTAATTTTCCGATTTTACAAATTCTTTTAAACAACACTCAGGACAAATCTCAAATGTCCATTGATTTCCCATCCACCCTTCCATGGCATTTCCCCCCCTTACCCTAGAAAGCTGCTATTCTACTTATATTTTACCCATTAATAAGTTAAACCACCAGTTCTCACATCCGGAATTTCCTGGACATAGCTGGGATTCAGCCATCGGAAGCAGCGTGCGGGTGGAAGTTGCTTAAACGTCTGGGAAAATCTGGACCTATGGCAACCCATTTATTTATTTTTTAGATTTTTCACTTTTTGTAATACTGCAGCTCTTTTTTAACATAACTGGGTTTTAACAAAAACCACTGAAGCAAAAGAGAGAAACCATCACATGTCTTTCGGTGCCCAGCAAAAACATTCCTCTTTACCTAGACTTTCGGCTATTAAATAATCTGTATTAAATGGGGGGGGCTGTTATTATTATTATTATTTTATTATGTTGTGTATTATTATTATTATTATTATTATTCTGTGTAAATTATGTTCTTAATGTTGTACACAGTCCTGGGATTTTAGGATAAAAGCTGCTATATAAATTGAATAAATAAATAAAATAATAAATATATCAGATCTCCCCCGATTCTGAGAAGCCTCCCATCAAGCCAAGCTTCAAAAGCTACCAGATAAAGTCAGGCCTGTATATGTTTGAAATGAAAATTCACAAGGGAGAAATTGCAGAGGAGACAGCAAATTGGTTCTTCGTTTAATCCCCACTTAATGCCTTATCTCCTGTCAACCTAGCAGTCTGAAAGCACGTCAAAGTGCAAGTAGATACATAGGTACCACTCCAGCAGGAAGGTTTCCGTTTCCGTGCGCTGTTCCGGTTCGCCAGAAGCGGCTTAGTCTTGCTGGCCACATGACCTGGAAGCTGTACGCCGGCTCCCTCGGCCAGTAAAGCGAGATGAGCGCCACAACCCCAGAGTCGGCCACAACTGGACCTAATGGTCAGGGGTCCCTTTACCTTTAAGCTCCTGAAGGTAATGGGGCCCTTTATATGTCCAGCTGTCCTTTGTCAACAACGACAAAAGTCGCTGTTTTTTGTGTTGAATACATGCTATATGGTGATTTATAGACCTAATAGATATCTAAAGCCATTTGCACATGTTGCCATGCGACCAGCCCATGCAGAATCTAGGCACCCTATATATAGAAATGAGCAAACCAGGGATATTTTAGGGAGTAGGCTAGCAGGCGGGGGCCCATTACTTACATCATTGGAGCCTACACAACACAAAACTGTTGTATGTAGGTTTTATTTTATTTGTTTTTTATCTTATATTTTGGAAATGTACATCCAGTATTTTTCCTTTAATTTTTTTGGGGGGCCCCCAAGAGAGTGGGGCCCTAAGCTAGAGCTTGTTTAGCTTATATGTAAATCTGGCACCGGATGTGAGCTCCATCCCTGCCTTGGCCAACAACGCAGGGCCAGTTTTGCTTTCTTGTTAATAAGGGTTTCTTCCCCTTCCGTTCCTTCTTTCAAACTTTCTTCCTTGGTATTTTTTGTGTGCGTTTAAGCAGGGGAGGTAAATGAATAAATAAGTATATTACCATAATTGATCACCCAGAAATTGTAGATAGAAGCCGCTCCAGATTGTTTTGAAGGTTAGCACTGCTGATTTGCCTGATGCTGGGTAGTAAATCCTTCCGTTCTGCCACGGTCGGCGAGAAGGCTGTGAACGATTCCCCTCATCCCTGGGATATTCATGGCTCAAAGGCTTTATGATCCAAGCCAACCTGATAGAAAAGACAGGGGAGCTGTACAAGCAAGTGTATTTGAGCAATTAGGGACAGCGTTCTGCTAAATTAGGGGGATTAATGGCTCGCTGGAGTCATTTATTTATTTATTTGATTTATATACCACTTTTTCAAGGAGCTCTAGGTGGTGGATGTGGCTCTCCCCATTTTATCCTCACAACATCCCTGTGAGGTAGGTGACTCCCATGAACTAAAACCTTCACCCTAGAATTCACCTTAGATAGTCCTGCAACTGACCGTTTTTACGGACCAGGCTTCGTGCGACATTCCTGGGATCTGTAGCTTTTCCCTCCCACTCTGGTGTGGTAATCCAGAGCTAGATTGAGGTAATCTGAGCTAGATTGAAAAGTAGTTGCTCCTTCATTCCTGCTGGGACTAGATCCAGCCAAAAATGGATGGGTTGTAGATTCGAGCCCCAACCCCATGTTGGGTGAGAATCTTGCGTTGAATTGGGGTTGGACTAAAGGTAAAGGGACCCCTGACCATAAGGTTCAGTCGTGACCGACTCTGGGGTTGCGGCGCTCATCTCGCTTTACTGGCCGAGGGAGCCGGCGTTCAGCTTCCGGGTCATGTGGCCAGCATGACTAAGCCGCTTCTGGCGAACCAGAGCAGCGCACGGAAACGCCGTTTACCTTCCCGCCGGAGCGGTAACTATTTATCTACTTGCACTTTGACGTGCTTTTGAACTGCTAGGTTGGCAGGAGCAGGGACCGAGCAACGGGAGCTCACCCCGTCACGGGGATTCGAACCACTGATCGGCAAGTCCTTGGCTCTGTGGTTTAACCCACAGCGCCACCTGCGTCCCTTGGGGTTGGACTAGGGGTGCCATAAATCTGGAATTTCCTAGACGTAGCTGGAAATCGGGTGCCGAAAGCAGTTTCCGGGCAGAAATCGCTGAAATGTCCGGGATTTGCCAAACTTTGGACAAACACACAGACACACACACACACACACACACACACTCAGAAGCTTTGGCAAAAAACAAAAACACCAACCCTACCTCCAGGCATTAGGCTATGATTCTATGAAGGGGGAGAGTTCTGTTGACCTCCTTGTGGGACTTAATGATGTTTATGTTTCATCACTGCACACCACTCTGATAATTTATGGAACAGCGGTACAGAAACCCTTTTATGAATGAAAGAGAAACGTGGCTGTGTGTCGTCATATCAATGCTGGTCTTTTATTTCTCCATAGGAGAGATCCTACAAGCAGACTAGTGTGGTGGAACAGATGGCCACGCACTTCACTCTCTATGGGAACCTGATATTCCGAGATTCGGATGAGGGTCGGAGGCAGAGCGTGAAGCAGAGCCTGACTATCGGTAGGCTTTGTGGGTCAGCAGACAGTGAGCGATTGAGCCATGCGCCCGCCACACCTACTCTGGGCGCCGGAGGAAATGTGTGCCTGTAGCCTTAGGTGGGGGAACACTGTCACATGGGGGCCTGTTTGTTAGCATGATTGAACAGGTAAACGTCAGTTTGTAGGAGGTCTCTTGCAGATATACCTTCTCTGGACAGGGGGGTACGCAGCAGTTTGGCGGGAGGTATGAATAATGGGAAACTGGTGCTCAGGAGAGGAGCAGATATGTTTGACTTAGTATATATAGATCTGGCTAAGGCTGTGTCACATCACTGGTGCATCTAGCCCCTGTGGAACGCCCTCCCATCAGATGTCAAGGAAATAAGCAACTATCTTACTTTTAAAAGACTTCTGAAGGCAGCCCTGTTTAGGGAAGTTTTTTAAGTTTAATGCTGTATTGTGTTTTTAATATTTAGTTGGGAGCTGCCCTGAGTGGCTGGGGAAACCCAGCCAGATGGGCAGGGTATAAATAATAAGTTGTTGTTGTTGCTGTTGCTGTTGCTGTTGCTGTTGCTGTTGCTGTTGCTGTTGCTGTTGTTGTCATTGTCATCATCTATTTTGACTTGTAATGACTCCCTGTGGTCTCAGAGAGGGGATTTTCCTAGTTCTGCTATCAGGAACATGTGGCGTATCCTTCTGGATTACAGTGGTACCTCGGATTACAGACGCTTCAGGTTACAGGCGCTTCAGGTTACAGACTCTGCTAACCCAGAAATAGTACCTTGGGTTAAGAACTTCGCTTCAGGATGAGAACAGAAATCACGTGGTGGTGGCGTGGCGGTAGCGGGAGGCCCCATTAGCTAAAGTGGTACCTCAGGTTAAGAACAGTTTCAGGTTAAGAACGGACCTCCAGAACGAATTAAGTTCTTAACCCGAGGTACCACTGTAGTCCAATGGGATACCTACAGTAGTCTAGCATCCTGCTTTCCTCAGTGGCTAACTAGGAAGCCCACAAGCAGGGCTGGAAGTCAACAGTCCTCTTCCACTGTTGCTTTTCAGTGATTGCCTCTAAACAAAGAGATCCTGTAAAGCCAATGATGGCCAACCTCTCCAGGAATTTGCCTAGTCTCCTTTTTAAGCTGCCTCTGTTAGTGGCCACCACCAACCCTTGTAGCAGTGAAATACATAAATGAATTGTGCACTGCATGGAGAACTTGCTTTGATGCACTCTGAAGCTGGGACATCTTTGAAGCTGTAGACGACGTGCCTTAAATGCTTGTCTTTCACCCAGTGCCATAGCTACTACACCTATAGACACAAAACTGTCTCTCTCTCCCACCCCTTCCCGCTGTTTCTGATATGGGCTGCTGCAATAACTGCTGTGTTTGCCACACTGTCCTGTTCTATTCTCAGCCGAAATAGCTCAGTTGGTAGAGCACAAGACTCCTAATCTCAGGGTCGTGGGTTTGAGCCCCACATTGGGCAAAAGTTTCCTGAAGTGCAGGGGGTTGGACTAGATGACCCTCGTGGTCCCTTCCAGCTTTACAGCTTTGTTTATGATTCTTTATGATTCTCAGCTGTGCTTCCTGTCCCATCTGCTGTGATGGACTTTGAGGCCCTGGACGAAGAGCTTAAGGAAGAAGAGCAGCCGGAAGGGGAAGCAGGAGAAGGAGAAGGAGAAAAAACAGATCAGCCGGTAAGGCTTCGTGGCAACGTGCAAGCAGCTAGCTTGTATTGCTTTCATTTTTTACTTTGCTTAAACTGTTCAGGGTTGGCCCAAGACATTTCACCACCTGAGGAAAATCAGAAAATGTCTCTTCTCCCCCCACCCCGAGAATCATAGTTTGTTAAGGGTGCTTTTGATATACAGTGGTACCTCGGGTTACATACGCTTCAGGTTACAGACGCTTCAGGTTACAGACTCCGCTAACCCAGAAATAGTACCTCAGGTTAAGAACTTTGCTTCAGGAGAGAACAGAAATCGTGTGGTGGCAGCAGGAGGCCCCATTAGCTAAAGTGGTACCTCAGGTTAAGAATAGTTTCAGGTTAAGAACGGACCTCCAGAATGAATTAAGTTCTTAACCCGAGGTACCTCTGTATATTAAAAAAACACAAGGAAGAGTCATTCCCCTCCTTTTCCTCCTGCCCTCTCTGTAGCCCCACCAGCAATGAGCAGGGGCAGGGACAGGCAAGCCCCTCACCCGCCTCTGGGTGGGGACAATGCTGGGGGACTGGCATGGTTGACCCAGTGGCCAAGGGTGGCAGGAGGGGTGGTGGATAGGGCCCGCACACATTGGAACATAGGAAGCTTATACAGTGGTGCCTCACAAGATGAAAAGAATCCGTTCCACGAGTCTCTTCGTCTTGCGGTTTTTTCGTCTTGCAAAGCAAGCCCATTAGCGGTTTAGCGGATTAGCGCTATTAGCGGCTTAGCGGGCTTAGCGGATCAGCTGATAAGCGGCTTAGCGATCAGCTGTTAAGCAGCTTAACGGATCAGCTGTTAAGCGGCTTAGCGGATCAGCTGATAAGCGGCTTAGTGGCTTAACGGATCAGCTGTTAAGCGGCTTAGTGGCTTAACGGATCAGCTGATAAGCGGCTTAGTGGCTTAATGGATCAGCTGTTAAGCGGCTTAGCCGATCAGCTGATAAGCGGCTTAGCGATCAGCTGTTAAGCGGCTTAGCAGCTTAGCGGATCAGCTGATAAGCGGCTTAGGCTTGGGAAAAAGGGGGGGGGGAGGAAAAAAACCCTGCAGGAACTCGCAAGACATTTTCGTCTTGCGAAGCAAGCCCATAGGAAATTCGTTTTGCGAAGCACCTCCAAAACTGAAAACCCTTTCGTCTAGCGGGTTTTCCGTCTTGCGAGGCATTCGTCTTGTGGGGCACCACTGTACTGAATCGGACCGTGGGTCCATCGGGCTCACCAACAGGCAGCGATGGCCCTCCAGGGTTCCAGCACCCTGCTGCCACCGCTTCCTCTTCCCCTGCCCAGGTGGCTGACAGCAAGGGCCTCATGGAGCTGCATCCCCAGCCAAAGGAGGAGCACCAAAACGTGCCTGTGATGTCCCTCTCTTTCCTTTCTAGTTCTGCCCAGTCTGCCCCCCCCCCAAAAAAAGAGATGGGTGGGTTGGACTAGATCCCTTCCAACTCTACAATTCTGTGGTCGTTTCCCCCTCTTTCAGGCTGCCACCCAGGAAGAGAAAGAAGAATACCGTCCCCGTCTGGTGGGTGAACGAAAACTCACCAACCAGTTCAACTTCAGCGAGAGAGCCTCCCAGACCTACAACAACCCTGTGAGGGTAGGCTGTCACTGCTGGTCTCTTCACACCCTTGTCTGTTGGCTAAAGTTCCTCTCATATGCCTATGGGCATCTCTCTGCATCGAGTGCTAATTGCTGATGGACATAGAAGACACCTTTTGCCTTTGGCAGCTAGAAGCACAGTGGCAAAGAGGGATGCTTCTTCTATCAGAGGTTTCTGGCGCCCTGGAAATGGTGGAATTACGCATGTGCAACATCCATGGTGGTCATCTCCAAGCTCTCTGTGGATGCTTGACACAAACTCTTCCTTGCCCACCTCAAAAACACCAGTTTTCAGGGTCTGTCCTCAACCGCTTGTTTGTCAGGCTGTTTTCTAGAAGGGAAGGGTTGTAGCACATCTGCCTTGCAAGCAGGAAGTCCTCCGTTCAATTCCTGGCATCTCCAGGTAGGGCTGGGGGTCTCCCCTGCCACAAACCCTGGAGAGGCATTGCTGCCATTCAGTGTGGATGATACTGAACTAGACAGAGCAGCAGTCTGTCTCCTTCTGTCTCACTATTATATCAGCCCTTGATTCAGAATCATGAGGACTGGAGTCTGAAAACCTGGAGAACCCCTGCTAGTCAGGGTGGTTAAAACTGTACCTAGTCGGACCATGAGTTTGGCAGCACATAAAGCAGCTTCTTATGGTCCATGAAAGGTGATGAGCCAGGGAACGCTGATGTCTGAATATTTTTTAGCAGGCCTGTTCTGCTATCAGGGTACTTTCTCAGGCTGTGACAGAAGAAGAAGAAAAGAAGAAGAAGAAGAAGAAGAAGAAGAAGAAGAAGAAGAGTTTGGATTTGATATCCCGTCTTTCACTCCCTTTAAGGAGTCTCAAAGCGGCTAACATTCTCCTTTCCCTTCCTCCCCCACAACAAACACTCTGTGAGGTGAGTGGGGCTGAGAGACTCCGAAGAAGTGTGACGAGCCCAAGGTCACCCAGCAGCTGCATGTGGAGGAGCGGAGACGCGAACCCGGTTCCCCAGATTACAAGACTACCGCTCTTAACCACTACACCACACTGGCTTTGACAGTTCAAAAGCAAGCTAAGGTGGAAGTCTCTCTCCAAATAACCTTTCTGCATCATGGAAACTGTTAAGAGGATGCAGGAACTGCCCTTCTGGATCCGGCTTGAAGATCCACCAGGTCCAGCGTTTCCCATATTGCCTTCTTTTGCCCTTGACTTTGATTTCAGGAACAGGGACGTGCCCTTTCTCATTTTTTGTTTCAAAGACCGAATGCCTGCTATCCACACAGAGGCCGTGGGGTTGGGTGGGCTTCAGATGCAGAGAAGCAAACAGATTTACTGGGCCATCTGCTCTGACGGTGCAATTAAGACTCCTAAAGCACTTCAGACACTAGAAAGCAATATCGTAATGAATAATAATGTGATCCATAACAATAAAAATACCAGTGACTTCAGGATAATTGCAAACTCATTCCGGCGTTGTGTGTAACGGGACTGGTTGGTGGTAGCTCATCTGTTTTGCATGCGAAAGAACTCAAGTTCAATCCCAGGCATCTTCACGTGGGGTTTTTAATGTTTAATAGGTTATTGTATTTTAGTGTTTTGTTGGAAGCCGCCCAGAGTGGCTGGGGAAACCCAGCCAGATGGGTGGGGTATAAATAATAAATTATTATTATTATTAATTATTATAGTGCTGAGAGAGAAACCCCAGAGAGATGCTGCTAGTTGGTTAGCTAGGTACACCAGTGGTTTGACTTGGTGGAAGGCGGATTCCTATGTTCCTATAATAATAATATAATAGTAATTTATTATTTATACCCCACCCATCTGGCTGGGTCTCCCCAGCCACTCTGGGTGGCTTCCAACAAAGTACTAAAATGCAGTGGTCTGTTAAACATTAAAAGCTTCCCTAAACAGGGCTGCCTTCAGATGTCTTCTAAAAATCTGGTAGTTTATCTCCTTGACATCTGGTGGGAGGGCGTTCCACAGGGCGGGTGCCACCACCGAGAAGGCCCTCTGTCTGGCTCTCTGTAATCTGGCTTCTTGCAGTGAGGGAACCGCCAGAAGGCCCTCAGCGCTGGATCTTAGTGTCCGGGCAGAATGATGGGGGTAAAGACACTCCTTCAGGTATACTGGACCGAGGCCGTTTAGGGCTTTAAAGGTCAGCACCAACACTTTGAATTGTGCTCGGAAACATCCTATGACTATGCTGCATCTGAAGCACTCATTAGTGGCATTTGAGATGTCCGTAGAACTACTATTACAAAGGAATAGCTCAGTCGGTAGAGCATGAGGCTCTTAATCTCAGGGTCCTGGGTTCAAAACCCACCTTGGGCAAAATATTCCTGCATTGCAGGGGGTGGACTAGATGACCCATGTGGTCCCTTCCAACTCTACAGTTCTATGATTCTATGTAATAGGTCCTGCCGTGCCGATGTGGAAAGCAGAAAATTGTTGCAGCGTCTCCTCAAAGCTACCAGCTCTGCCCTCTCTGCTCCTTGGCCAGCTCCACACAAAGCCTTTATATCAGACCATCTGTGTCTCCCTCCAGATATTGCTGGTCTCCCATTTCCCCATTTCTGCCACAGCCTAACCCTCCCCAGAGGCCCTGTTTCCCTAGATCCCAGCTTCAGTTCCGCAACACCCTTCTAGTTCTAGTGGAGCTGAATCTGACTTGTGGGCAGCCAGCCAGTGGCCAGTTCTTCTGTCTCATTCTCTCACCCCAGAGTTCTCATGACTCCCTTGCTTACAGAGACTTCAGGTGCTAAGGAGAAAACTTAGATTGCTTTGAACATTTTCTTTAAAAGCCCCTTTCCCCAGAGAGAGGTAAGCCCAAGCTTTTTACATAGGCTGTTATAATTCTAGAATGCCATAAGTTAGCCCGCGTGTTGCACTGCTCCCGGAGGCAGAAGCAGTAAAACCTATCCACCTGCGGCAAACTTGCAGCAATTTCTGCCGAAACCAATGATCCTTCCATTTGTACATTCCTATCGAGGTGCTTTCTGTTTCCCTGGACGCACGTGAGCCCGGGGTCATCGCAGCAACAGGCCAGCTCTTGCCACAAATAAAATGTCACGTTGATAGTAAACACAGATCCATTTGCAATACCCTCGCAGCGCACAGACCTTTTGGATAAATGGTGGGGGGAAGTCACACTCCACTGGCGCTGCTCAAGTCTCAGGCGGTTTCTCAGCAGCTAAGCAAGAGCCGACTTTTATATATATCCTGCACTGACAACGGGATTAACTGTGTGCTACTTCAAATCCTTTCTTCCAGGACAGGGCATGTCAGATGGAGCCCCCGCCGAGAGCTACCTTCTCTGACACTGCCAACCAGGTAAATGCTATTTATTTATATATTAATTTAGAGCATCTGGGCTTTCAGAGCAGTTTACATACTGTCAGTACAAGACCTACAACCCTACAACACAGAAGGAGAAAGGGACATGGAGGGCAGAGGGGAAAACAGACAAACCAAAGCTCAGCCACCAGTTTCTAAGCGTTTGTTCCCATAATGACCGGCCGCCACAACTTTGGGTCAGGGGTTTCCTGGTGGAGCTGAGCTGTGCTTCCTACTCTGCCACTGAGGTGACAGCTAAGGGAGAGAAAGTTGGATGGAGCCAGAATCTCATCCCTTTAGTCTTCTGACTTAACACTGGACATGCCCAGGTGGTCTGCGCATCTAATCCCTGCCAGTCCCTCAGTGCCTTTGCTCGTTCCTAATGGCCTGTGAAGATTACAGGGCCAAGAGAACACCCACATCCTTGATTGAAAGCATGGCATGCCCTACAGCACAATCCATGCCTCCTCAAATGTACCGTATTTTTCGCTCTATAAGACGCACCAGACCACAAGACGCACCTAGTTTTTGGAGGAGGAAAACAAGAAAAAAATAAATCTGAATCTCAGAAGCCAGAACAGCAAGAGGGATCGCTGCGCAGTGAAAGCAGCAATCCCTCTTGCTGTTCTGGCTTCTGGGATAGCTGCGCAGCCTGCATTCGCTCCATAAGACGCACACACATTTCCCCTTACTTTTAGGAGGGAAAAAGTGAGTCTTATAGAGCAAAAAATACGGTACATCCCAGGTAAGTGACTTCAGGTAAGCAGCCTTCATTCTCTCCTGTGTGTGAGATAAAAGCATCTGCCTGCTTTTGGGTGTGTTTGAAGGTACCAGGGAAAGACCTGCAGGATGAAATGTGGAGGCCCATCTCTCTGGCTTGGTGTAGATGAAAACACATCTGTGGCAGGCTCTGAGATGATGCTGAAACATATCACCTCCCCAAAGTGTCCCCAGGGGTGTCTTTTTAATCTGCATCTTTGAAACAATAGTGCCATTAGGATAAGTGCATTTTTGCTGCTGAAGTGCGTGGGATGGAATTCAACCAGTTTTTGTTTCTTTACGTTTTCTCTTTTTAAAATCTTACTGTTGCCTAGAAGTTGAATTGATCCACACGTATTTCTTGCGGTCCCTGTGACAATTGTCCCAATTACCACTGATTTTGTCTATTGTACTTGGTACACAGCAGTAGATAAGACAATGCACAGACTCAGCGGCTCTCCCTCGTAGGGGGACATGGAGAGATGGAGAAAGGGATGCATCTCTGTTATATCAAATTGGTCCTTTAAAGGGACACCCGTGTTTCTAATCAAAGTGCTGGAATAAATGCAAATCTCCAGCTCGCTCGCTACTGGAATTCTCTTCAGGCTAAGCACAGCTTGAGTGGCTCAGAGTAACAACTTGCTAAATTTGTCAGAACGCAGCTGAAGTTTTAGACAGAGGACAAAATCCCACATCTCTCTTCCCCATCTTGGGCCATTTTATGAATATAAAGTAATATTTCAAACTCTTCCTTTCTTCGTTCCCCAACTCCCTGCCAACAGTCCCTTTTCTATGCTGCTGAATTTGAGTCAAGAGCCTTTCCAGAATCTCATGTGGCAAAGGACCTGTGTCTGCAGGTGGGAGGAGGAAGGGGCAGAATTGTCACCCACCGCCCAGGAAAGGCCTTGTTTCTTCCTTGACTGGCCTGTGTTTGTGTGGCTCCAAGTTTTCTCTTCCTCTCTGTTTGCCTTCCTGCTTCCCTGCTCCCTCCCAGCTACCAGATTCACCTCCTTCTTGCCTGCAACCTTCTTGCAGCTCCTTCTCCCTTATCTGGCTCATAACTGCCTCTGCCCATGGATGGATGGATGTGTGCACTGTTAGAATATTCTGTTCCACCTTAAGGGACAGGTATGAGACTGTTGTGTGTCACATGTCTGTTTACACTCCAGCACAGCTTGCCGGGAACTTCTGTTTGCATATAGCTTTTGCTGTCTTGCTTTGGACACAAAGGAGAGAATACATGTTTTCATTTTGTCCTGATGTATGCTGAATAAACTACTTGTAAATATGCTCAACACAACCCCTCCATGCCACTTCTGTTGCACAGTGTTTTACTCTGCTGAGTGTGCATGCCCAGCTTCTGAAGGCTTCTGAAGCTAGGGTTGCAGTTTCATGCTGATCCAAGGACTGGAGATCGCCTGGCACAGGCCAGCTGGGGGCCTGCCAATTGCCCCCGATTCCTTGGCTGCATCCCAACATGCACCTGTGGATCTGCCCCAGTCTTCCCTCCAGCTCTGGTCCTGTTCCTGCTGGAGTACTAGTTTTGCCTCTCTAGCATGGAGCCAGCATGGTGTAGTGGTTAAGAGTGGTGGACTCATAATCTGGGGAACCGAGTTCGCTTCCTTGCTCCTCCACATGCAGCTGCTGGGTGACCTTGGGCCAGTCACACTTCTCTGAAGTCTCTCAGCCTCACTCACCTCACAGAGTGTTTGTTGTGAGGGAGGAAGGGAAAGGAGAATGTTAGCCGCTTTGAGACTCCTGAAGGGGAGTGAAAGGCGGGATATCAAGTCCAAACTCCTCCTCCTCCTCCTTCTCTTCTTCTTCTCTATGTGCTCAGGGCCACAGCGCTCTAGGGTGACATTTCTTTTACGTTGTCATCACTCATCTTCTTTCTTGGTGGTTTGGGTGGAAGCCGGGTAGGGAATGTTTTCAAGAAGTACACTTGCCTTCTGCTACCTGTGACTAGTTCTGTGAAGTTCCTTGCTGTCTCACCATTCACTCTTTGTCTCTTTCAGTGGGAAATCTACGATGCCTATGTAGAGGAGCTCCAGAAACTGGAAAAGTCAAAAGAGAAAGAGAAACAAAAGGCCCCAGTTGCAAAGAAAGAAGACAAGATGCGGGGAAGAAAACTGACGTCGCTGGAATCTCAGGTGCTGTTCCTGCGTATAGTGGTGATAATACACGGCAATGCTTTGTGTCTTTTATATTTTCAGCATCCCTTTCCCTTCATCCTAGGTGTTTTCTCCCCTATATCATTGGTGAAATACTTGCTGCCCCTGTGTTTTTGCCCTAGTCCATGTTCTCCAGTTCCTGGCTCAAATGTTTTCCTGTAAGGTTTAAAGCCATCGGGCCCCATCTCAGATCTCCACGTGTTCAGGATGTGTGACTGTTTTGTGTGCAGGTGGAACCTTGTGAGGGTCTGCAGAGGCCGGGCTAAAGGAATCGGAGATCCCCTTGGGAGTTCATCATCTGGAGGTCCTCCACAATCTGCTCCATGGCTTCTCAGGCCTTCGCCTCACAGCCCTTGGGGTACCTGGGATCCGGTAATCTGGCCACTGCAGTTTCTGCAGGCTGGAGCTTCTGAACCAGCCCCAAGGCCAGCCCCACATGGAGCGCATTGCAGAAATCCAGCCTCAAGGTTGCCAACACAGAGAATAAGAGAATCGTAGAGTTGGAAGGGACCCAAGGGTCATCTAGTCCAACCCCCTGCAATGCATGAATCTCAGCTAAAGCATCCCTGACAGATGGCCATCCAACCTCTCCTTAAAAGCCTCCAATGAAGGAGAGTCTACAACCTCCCAAGGGAGACCGTTCCACTGTCCAACAGCTCTTACTATCAGAAAATTCTTCCTGATGTTGAGTTGGAATCTCCTTTCTTGTCACTTGAAGCCATTAGTTCGAGTCCTACCCTCCAGAGCAGGAGCAAACAAGCGTGCTCCCTCTTCCATTTTACAGCCCTTGAGATGTTAGAAGATGGCTAACATATCTCCTTTCCATCTCCTCCAGGCCCATAGCTGTCAACTTTTCCCTTTTCTTGCGAGGAATCCTATTCAGAATAAGGGAATTCCCCTTAAAAAAAGGAAAACGTTGACAGCTATGGGCTAAACAGACCCAGCTCCTTCAACCATTCCTCATAAGGCTTGGCTTCCAGACCCTTGATCTTCTTAGTTGCCCTCCTCTGCACACATGGCCTATAGTGGTCAAGCTCTCCCTGCACAGGAACAGCTGCAGTTCGCCAA